AATTCCCAACCGATTTTCGAAAAAGTTATATTTTCGTACAGCTGGGGATATTGCGGATGTGATAACGGCCAAATTGAAATACCATGTCGTTCTCATTTTTTCTTCAAAATTTGAAAATTTACTAAAATTGTTATTTCTTGGAATTTAGAGCATGCAAAGAACGTGTCAATATCTGAGTTATGCTAGTGTATTTGGGTTTTTTTGGGTGGGGGTGGGGGAGTGGTGAGGATAGTCTTTTGTCATGCATCTGTCGATCATGTGACACTTTGGCACGGTGAAAGCCTTCAGTCTTGCAAGCAAGTCTAGTTCTTATTATTATTATTTTTCTTTTTCCATTTTGATTGTATCTCAGAAACTACTTCTCGGATTGATTCAATGTTTTCGGTTTTACTGGGAAAGTGGGTGTGACTTAGAGATTAAAGCTATTTCGAACGTTCTGCGACAATGAGAAATGTCTGAAATCGTCGAAGTTATTGTTTTTTTAAATATTGCCGTAATATTAACAATAATCATTGGATTTTAACATTGGATACATTTTGACACAGCCAGAGACAAGGCACATAGCCATGGTTCTTTAGATTTTTGATTTTCCACGGAGATAGATATTAGGCGCCAAATTTTAAAAATTTAAAATTTTACAAAAAACTTTTTTATTTATGAATATTTTAATGTGGTATTTTACCCAGGGTTAAAGAGTCAACTGATTTGACCAAAAATGGCACCATTTTTTGTCATCGTAATTTCCCTTGGCCGCCATTGGTTAATTCAGTTTTTCAGTCCTGGATTAATTATTTATTGCTCGATTTGTATAAAACAAAATTCATATGCTCCGTGATCCAAAATGTCATTTTTTTGTTACCGGTAAAGTTACCTTTCGGCAACGGAAGTGACGTAAATTTAGCAAAAACTACAATTTTGACAGTTCGGTACCACTTTTTGAAAGCAAATATTGTTTTTTTCAAATCTGGTATGACTGAAAGTGTGTGCCCTGTAAAGGCGCAGAAAACATCGGGCTCAGTTTTTTTAATTTTGATTTCGTTTTCGGGTCATTTTGATTTAAAGGTGAAAAAATGAGCTATTTACAACCTTTTCAGGCTTTTCATATTTTAAAATATTTCTTCGCAACTTTCATAAACTTGTAGCATTAATCCATACGAAGAGAATCTATCTCAAAATTAGTTTGTAATATGAGCAGTTGCCGAGAAATGGTCAATTTTGCATGAGTCACTCTTTACGCTATTGTGTCTGTAAAAGAGTCAATTATTATTGGATTTTCATAAAAGTGACACCATTTGATGTGTAATGTCAATTGTGACTAGTTCAACTCAATTTAACATTTTCCATGTCACCGGAAATGACGAAATTTGGGCAAAAACTGTATTTATAGCCTCAGAAACAAATAATTTATTGAAATGAGTCGTATTTGTTGTTTGTTTAACATTTTGATATTTGATTCTAATCAACTAATAGATTGAACCCATACGATCATATAGATATCACAAAATGGTTTCTAACTTGTTCAGTTGTGGAGAAATAGGCAATTTTCAACAGGTCACTTTTCAAGGTTTTTTGGCCATAAAAGTGTCAATTATTATTCGATTTTCATGAAATTTTCACTATGTGATACCTAATGCCATTTACGATATCATACAAGTAATTTAAGATTTTCATTATCACCAAAAGTAACGTCATTTTGACAAAAACTGTATTTTTAGCCTTCAAATCATATATTTTATTCAAATGAGTCTGAGTTGTTATGTTTTTAAAATTATGATATTTGATTCCAATCAACAAATAGAATGAATCCATACGATCATACAGATACCAGAAAATGGTTTCTAACTTGTACGGTTGAAGAGAAATAGACGGTTTTCTACAAGTCACTTTTCAAGGTTTTTGGTCTATAAAAGTGGCAATTATTATTCGATTTACATAAAATTTTCACCATGTGATGCCTTATGCCATTTCTGATTTCATAAAAATAATTGAACATTTTCATTATCACCGAAAGTACTGTACACTTACATGTAACAAATGTATAAAATGAATTGATATTGCTGGATTTGGTTGATTCGGTGTCCATTTTATTTGATGTGTGCAATGATTAGGTGGAAACCTGTTTAATGGTTTCATTGGTACCGGAAGTGAAATATGTTTAGGGTAACGTGGCACCGGTGAAACCCGTCATTACTGCATCGCAGTTCTAGTTTTTTTTGTTACCGGTACATTTTCCTTTCGGCAACGGAAGTGACGTAAATTTAGCAAAAACTACAATTTTGACAGTTCGGTACCACTTTTTGAAAGCAAATATTATTTTTTTCAAATCTGGTATGACTGAAAGGGTGTTCCCTGTAAAGGCACAGAAAACATCGGGCTCATTTTTTTAAATTTTGTTTTTGGGTCATTTCGATTTAAAGGTGAAAAAAGGTGAAAAAATGAGCTATTTACAACCCATTCAGGCTTTTCATGTTTTAATATATTTCTTCGCCAATTTCATAAACTTGTAGCAATAATCCATACGAAGAGAATGTATGTGAAAATTAGTTTGTAATATGAGCAGTTCCCGAGAAATGGGCTATTTTGCATGAGCCACTATTTCCGCTAGTTTGCCTGTAAAAGAGTCAATTATTATTGGATTTTCATAAAAGTGACACCATTTGATGCGTAATGTCAATTTTAACTAGGTCAAACCAATTTAACATTTTCAATGTCACCAGAAATGATGTAAATTGGGCAAAAACTGTATTTATAGCCTTCGAAACAAATAATTTATTCAAATGAGTCGTATTTGTTATTTGTTTAAAATTTTGATATTTGATTCAAATCAACTAATAGAATGAACCCATACGATCATATAGATATCACAAAATGGTTTCTACCTTGTTCAGTTGCGGAGAATAGAATTGATATTGCGGGATTTGGTTGATTCTGCGTCCATTTTATAACACGTCTGCAATGTATATGTGGAAATCTGTTTATCAGTTTTGTTGGTACTGGAAGGGTAACGTGGCACCGAATGTGACATAAGTTCAAGGGTAATGTGGCACCAGTGAAACCCGTCATTACTGCTTCGCAGTTCTAGTTTTAATTAAGCTTATACTTTGAGAAAAGGATCTTGAAAATTACAAGATAAGCACAGGTACGAAAAATATTTTCGTAATTTCCTATCATGGCCAACTTGACCTCAATCCTTAGCAAGAGAAACTGTTTAATACGTCTTATTGCCCTTTCTATATGAACACGGGCCTCTGATATTTTTTTTACTTCTTAGCACTTGATCTTTAGAAAATTGGGCCTTGTCTTTGGGTTTAAAAGGGGGAATAATTAACTGAACACCAGCAAGTAAATCATCGCAAATATAAAGCCTCTGTCTGCCATAATGCTCGTCCCCGTATCGAGATAAGATAATAAACTTTTAGAATCATTAGTAATAAATTTGTCGGAAGCCCTACCACCATATATTTGAGACACATGTTCCTGCTCCTGCTGGACTGATACCAACCATAAATTTCACTGTACTGTGATGCTTATAATTAGAATGATATTGCTTAGTTAAAGCTCTTTTCTTGCCTGGCTTAGAAATGTACCGATTATTAAAAAAATTAAATTCGTAGGTTTTACTTCCTTTATCATTTTTCATATCTTTTAAACTTTGTCTTCTAAATAATTAAAGTAGCTAAGTCTCTAACTCAATAACATCCAAAGTCTTACACGTTGAAAACACAAATTATTTGTCAATTCAAATCAACATTGATGTTGTGATCTTACCGGGAAAAGGTACGCTTCTGATATCCAATATTTAAGTCAAAATAAACATTATACCATTGGTACACGAATCGTGTACCATAGTCTGTTTCAGCGTCATTTGTAACAAGTGACCAGAAAGAATGAGGCTAGACATATTCCACAACTCCTATCGAACAGTGACGCCATACCTTATCTGGAGAGCATGCGCAATAGACTGGAATAACCAGATGCTAGAAATTGCCATTCGGTTGAGACTCATGCCGTATTTCGCTGGACATAACTGATTTGAAATTAGAGTCAAAACGGAAACAGCTGAATGTGAATCAGTTTATATACAATCAGATTACATTATTATATACGTTGAGACCCATTAGGGTAAATTTATAGGTCCTAAATATTAGCGATTTAGCTCCATTAAATAAGGCTAAAAACACTGAATAAGTAGGAAAACCAGTAAAATGTTGAAATAAATTGTCATCATCTTTTACATTATATAAAGTCAATATTTGCACTTTTTGGTTATGTTCATCAAATACTGTAGCTTTCTGAATTGCTGTATTGTAGTCATGTAAAAATGTAGAAAACTCAATGTTTACTTGTCAAATTATCAATAGCCTCGGCCAGTCTATCCGTTCTTATTGTACTTAAATAATCATGATCATGCTGTGTTGACTAAAATAAAAAAAAGAACACATTATTGAAAAGTGTAACTAATATGAGAAAATTTATATATTCTCACTTTTGCCGAGTTTGTTTTCATTTTGAGTGAAGCCTGTAGGCCTTTCACTACAGGACTGTTCAGCGCACTGGGCACCAAGGTCTTATCCACAGGTTTGTCTTATAGATGTTTGTATATGTGCGATTCAGTCCTCCTGCACTTACGGCACAAAATTGTGTGACAGTATATTGATTTTATTGAAAAATGTACTGTAGTAATTTAATATCAGTACAATTTTAAAAAGGAATATATCATATTTTACTTATAGATAACTGTTTTATTATATCAATTTCTTGTGGTGAATCCTCGGCTTCCAAAATTTCTATCACACAACTGTTTTCCTCGTTTTTCTAAAAATAACAAATTTACTAAATTAATAGGTATTTCGAGTCATATTGGTTCAATTTTCAATAAATAAGCGAGTCTAACTAAGGTTATTTTCTCTTTAAAATTATGAACTTGATGAAATAACCTCCCACCCCCACCACCCATTGTGTTACCGTATATGACAATAAATGTTGCTTTCTTTTAACAGAAGAAGCAGTTTTTATTAAAACTCAAAGGAAATCTACCATCAACATCACCAATATCACAAGACTGGCCAAAATGTTCACCTCTCTTTAAAGATGTCTCCCAAGAACTGAAGAAAATCTTTCACAAGTGGAGGGTAAATAAAACACTTCTTTTATTGTTCTTATTGAAATTTGCAGAACGCAATCTTTCACTAAGTAATGTTGAGACAAGCTTTACAATTATCAAACAGTTTTACCTACATTAATATATAAACATACAATCGTATAAACAAAATAATTAACTACACAGAAGATTAGTTTCTTGAAAGCATAAAACCCCATTTCATTTCATTTTTTGAAAGCTTAAAGGATCCTTCGAGAAATCTGAACTCTATCGTGTTCACAAGCTTTTCCAGAAACATTGTATCTCTCTGGAAGCATGGATGTTGACTGTATCTACAGGGCTGTCGGTAATTTTTCACAGTTGATTAGCAGCACTGCTAATCAAAAAGTCCAATTTTGCCAAATTTGATTAGCAGTTTTTCAGTTTCAACGTAAAACACCTAAATAACAAGATATTACTTTAATTCATAACAAATATGATTAGATTCCATCCTGACTATTCTTAGATTTTTTAGCACTGCCACAAGTACTTGTGACAGTTTGTGAATGTGATGTAGACATTTAGTTAGGTCTTATGTCTGAAGCCAATTCTTGACAGTGACTTCCGAAGCCCCACTCATTTTAATTGTTATTTTTTTGTTATGTTAGAAATCTTCGTTAGAAAACAATTTCGTCTGCTTTTTATCTTGTATTACTATTTTTGTTCAGTTGGGTGCACCTTGATTAACTAGACACATGCGATATAAACAATAATATTTTACGAGAATTTTTACTTTGATTTATCATTTTACAATACGTTAACATGTATTGTAGCCCAAAATGGAAATTTCTTGGATTTTGATTGGTCGAAAAGTGGCGTCGAATGAGTATAACAGTCCTCTAAATTTCCTGGGCGACTCACTACGAATGAATATTTTCTGTGTGCTAGACTCTGTTTGCAGTGGCCAAAAATTCTACACCTCAAAACTTTATTCTAGGAAATCTTCATGAATTGTTTCTTGTATGTCATCAACAATGAAATTCAACCATTGGCTTATTGAAACACACACCTGAAATACAAAAAACAAAGATAGTGAGTGTATTTGAATCATAATGGGTAAATTTCATTTCAAGGCTGGTCTGACCATATTATAATGGTTGCTATGGTCATTCTATCATAATCAGACAGGTCAAAATCAGGGTAGTTCGAGAAGAAAATGTCACACAGAGAATTCGGTTTTGTTTATAAAATTTTATTCAACATTTTATACACGTTTAAAGTGTTGAGTAAGCATTCTAGTCTTCAAAATGTGGATTTTTCTTGTGTCAATATACAAAATGACAGGCACATTAATGATTCGCAGTTATCAAAAACGATAGATTTTAATTTTTGGTTAGCAAGGGACAAAATATGTATCGCAAATTGCGCTGCGATACTGATTGTCAGCAGCCCTGTGTATCTAATAGGAATTCTTATCAAATTTGGTCAACATCCAATTTTTCTTTCGGATAAACTGCTGTCTATGGCTATATTATTTCGAGACATGGCTGCTGCTTGTATCTCCAGGCTTTGTATGGCTGTCTTTAATAAATATGAAATGAAATTTCCAATCTCTAAAGCTGGGGACTATTAAAATGGATCTGTCGGCCACACTTTTTGGGACACAATAACTCTCCTTCTAAAAACAGAGCTAGAATGTTCAAACTTGGTGTAGGTGTTTTTATACGCCCACATTTTCATGTGGACGTATACTCTTCAAAAAAAGTAGGGGATATTGAAATGCAAATACCTATGCAGGTTGTGGTATGATAAATAGTCATGGACACTTGACATGCTTTGAGAGTATCTTCACAAATGAAGAACTTATCGCCCCAACAGAACCACTGAGCTGCATGTGCAACACGCGATAGCGCCATACACGTGGGAGGGGTTCGTGGGAGGGGTTCATTGTAAAATTTGACACTTCAAGGAAGGGTTGATGAAAACTGCTGCGTGCAGGTTTATCCTATCCATCAGTGTCCGAATCTTTTTTCCAAACGCCCAAAATTGTCCGACCGGGAATATGCCCAATCGGACATCAAGACATGGTGAATAATATTCAAAATTAATATAGTTTACTGAGTGTATAACTACCACTCAACCCGATTATCGTCGATAATACCCTGGGTTTATTAGGTAATTAAGTGATCAACGTATTTATCGTGTTATACCGTCTATAGTATAAACCTACCTTGATTTAACTACTTAATCTGCCTTGATTGACTGACTTAATCCTTTGTCGGACAATTCATCAATCTAATCTTAAACAGAAGTCATTGCTTTCCTTTTGTCGGACTATTCATCAATTCAATAAGAATGATTATAATTTTAATCCACCTCATTTGTCGGGCATCTTAATCGCATTGATCACTTTGAAAAATCTTGTGGATGCTCTAGAGGCCAAAGTTAATATCAGATTGACTTTAAATTTATCCACAGTGTTTAAGGTCATGAGACGAAGAATCCTATTGATTTTCAGCGATTTTCGATAATAACTGTCAGAGTTAAGGCCCTTCATCACTTCAAGAAATCTTGTGGACGCTCTAGAGGCCAAAGCAATCTGGTTAAAACACAGATCCTATTTCGTTTCATTTTTATAGTTCAAAATTTCGTTTTACTTGTCTTTACTACACTTGGATCTGGAAGAGTTGTTATTTAACTCGTGTTCTGAATGGTGTCGGGGATAAGCCAATGAAACGGTCTGTTACGGCAAGCTTTAGGCATGTTTTTCACGGAACTGTGGGCAATCCACTAGTAACATCAATGCTGATTGGTTAATCAAATGTCTGATGTCATAGGGTCATAAGTCAGTCATGTAGTGTAATCCATCGAAAGTATAAAAAAACGAAACGAAATATAGATCTGTATTTTAATCAGATTGAGGCCAAAGTTAATATCTGATTGACCTTAAATTTATACACAGTGTTTAAGGTCATGAGATGAAGAATCCAGTTGTTTTTTATACGCCCACATTGAAATGTGGTCGTATATTGTCGTCGCCCCCATCCGTCGGTCCTGTCGGGCGGCGTCCACAATTGCTTGTGGACGCTTTAGAGGCTAAAGTTAATATCCGATTGACTTTAAATTTATATACAGTGTTTAAGGCCATGAAATGAAGAAACCTATTGATTTTCGGCGATTTCTGATAATTACTGCTAGAGTTATGGTCCTTGATCACTTCAAAAAATCTTGTGGACACTCTAGAGGCTAAAGTTAATATCAGATTGACTTTAAATTTATACACACGTGTTTAAGGTCATGAAGCGAAGAAACCTATTGATTTTCAGCGATTTCCGATAATTACTGCCAGAGTTATGGCCCTTGATCACTTCAAAAAATCTTGTGGACACTCTACAGGCCAAAGTTAATATCCGATTGACTTCAAATTTATACACAGTGTTTAAGGTCATGAGACGAAGAAGCCTATTGATTTTCAGCGATTTCCGATAATTACTGCCAGAGTTAAGGCCCTTGATCACTTAAAAAAATCTTGTGGACGCTCTAGATGCTAAAGTTATCATCCAATTGACATCAGATTGATACACAGAGCTTAAGATCTTGATAACGAACAAGTAAATTTTTATGACTTGAACAGCTAAATCCATGATATACTATTCAAAAAAAGTAGGGGATATTTGATTTTTAAGTGTTATTAAAGTCACCTAATGAAACTGACGAAGAAACAAATGACAAAATGAAATGAAGTTCACATTCATCGATTTATTCCAAATGATCGTTAGACTGAGTAAGGCACTGACCATCAAACAGCAAAGTTACCACAGCATAACAACCAAGTCAGTAACGGGTAAATCCTCCTCTGTTTGCCAAACAAGCATTGATCCGACGTGGCATACTCCTAAAGAAAAGTCTAAGGTCATTTTGGTCCAGATTGTCCCATTCCTGTTGCAACGCAGCAGCAAGTTCTTGGACATTGGCAGGACGTTGTTGACGTTGACGTAACCTCTGTCCAAGCATGTCCCAGACATGCTCGATGGGGGAGAGGTCGGGACTCAGTGCTGGCCAAGGTAATGTGGTGATGTTCTGTTGTTGGAGGTAACCTGTAACGATCCTGGCCCTGTGACATCTTGCGTTGTCATCCTAGAAGATGAAACGGCGGCCATGACGTCGTGCGAACGGCACAACATGGACTGCCAAGATGTTGTCCCGGTAGTACTGGCCTGTAACACGCCCTGCAACAACATGTAAAGCCGTTCTTCCAGCAACAGTGATGCCTCCCCACACCATAACAGAACCACCCCCAAATCGATCATGTCTGATGACGTTAACGTCTTGGAAGCGCTCGTTTCGACGACGCCACACCCTCCTACGTCTGTCCAAAAAATCAACAGTGAACCTTGACTCATCTGAAAACATCACATTGCTCCAGCGTCGATTATCCCAGTGTTGACGATCCCTACACCAACGACGTCTTGCCTGAATGTGATGATCTCTCAAACAAGGGATCACGCGAGGACGTCGGGCGCGAAGGTGACCCCTATGCAGTCGATTCCGAATCGTCTGGCCACTCACTCTCACACCAGTGTCTGTTTAAAGACGAGCGCTGATCTGATTTGCTGTGATGACACGATTTCTTAAGGCCAAGGTACGGATAAATCGATCCTGGGCTTGAGTTGTCGCCCTTGATCGACCTGAGCGTGGTCTGTCCTGTACAGATTGTGTATCACGGTATCTGGACCATAGCCTGCTTATGACAGACTGAGAAACATTCATCGTCCGCGCCACAACCGCCTGTGTTGTGCCGATCTGTAGCATGCCAAGGGCACGTAACCTTTCATTTTGGGTAAGCCGACGCATATCAAAATTTGTTTTCTGGTCACTAAAACAATTAAACTGATGTTTTCACCCTGGAATTCAATGCCACAATGACTGTAACATTCAAAGTCAGAGTCGTGCAAATCTTGGGTTGGACCCCCATGATGATCCCAAGCATCACCTGCATTCCATGCGGTAGCTATTGGTGCGTTTGGGAAATGTTTCTTCTGTTAGGTTCTA